AGTTGATTAAGTTGATTGCCAGAAAAATAACTGTCTTTTTTTGTAATGTAAATTTGCAATCTCAAAGTCACACTCGGTAAGGCTAAAATGTTTATCAAAGTTTAACTGTAACCCACATGCATATGATAACCTGCTTGATCTTGCTTGGCTAAACAGGTTCTTATATTTTTGGGTATTGAAATGGCAAATGTCTGCCAGCAGGTCCCTAAACTACCAGGTTCTCATATGCTGTACCTTGAAGTTCCAGTAGATATTTTTAGAAACATTGTTAACGGCAGTTTAATTTAACAATTTTTTTTCTTAATTTTAATACCTTTAATTAATCTCAGCTTAAGCTTCCAATTGATTAATTTGCTGGTACTCTAATTTTGATTTTTCGTGAAATCCCCGAAATTAAGTTGGCACTTAAGGTGGCTCAAATCAGTTTCCAGGACTTAGATTTTGATGGGTCGTTTAGAACCACTATTTATCACTTGATGCCACAATCATGGTATAAAAAAACTGCCTAGTCATTGGTGTTTACGTTGTTATCATTTTCGTGACACAGTAGGTTACCATAGCAACAGTTTGACCTGCTTAAAACACCCCTAATTACAGCTTTAGGGGCTTATAATTCAAAAACGACACAGTGAAGTTTTTTATATTATCAACTTTTGATGAGCATGATAAGATGCAACTTTCGGCAAAGTTTAAAATTTTCGTGACACAGTAGGTTACCATGGCAACAGTATGACCTACTTAAAACACCCATAATTACAGCTTTAGGGGCTCATAATTCAAAAACTGTTTTGAACTTTACAAACTCTGAAATCACTCCTCTCACCTTAGTATGAGTTTTTGTCCGCGCGCGTAACTTCCGGTAATTTTAATTAGCCAATCGTGGCTCAGAATGTGCTCGCGCGTACATTTAAACTTCGCTGTCGTAATTTTGCAGATTTTCATCTTTGTTGTTTTTTTCTTGAAAGTAAACAGAACATTCTGCACCAATTGCAGGCATGTTTGTGATATCAAAGTTGCACTTCAGGCAACATTTTTTATTTTGCTGAGAATAAAGGCTTAAATATATGTTTTCTCTTTGTTTTGTCTCTTAAGACCCCCCAACGGTTACCAGGGAAGGTCATATTATTGATGTGTCTGAAGGAGATCCAGCATCAATTTCTTGCCCAGTACTTGGAAACCCTCCACCCAATATCACCTGGTACGAGGGAAATGACACATCATCTGGCACTATGATAAATACCAACAACACTCTGAAGTTTACCGAGACTATGTTTAATGATAGCGGATGGTATACCTGCTTCGCCAAAAACTCTGTAGGAAACGTTACTGTTACGGTCCAGCTACTTGTTGGTGAGTTGTATGTTATTGAATAGTTAATAAGTTATTTTCCAACTCTTCAGACATTATAGCCGATATTATAACATAAGGCAGTCATGGCTTTTATTCTTTGAGTTATAATGGTTTTAAATAAGTACTGTGGAAACGAGGTTCATATATGGTGTTTCCAACCAGACGATTTTATTTTTAATCATTTGGCATGCTTTAATCAGCTGATCTGCACAGAGGGTACATGTATAACTCATAATAAAAGGAGAAACGAGTGTTCGTGCAAAAGCATTCATATGAAAATGTGTTTCCCATGTAGGTTATTTTTCTTGCAAATGGAACTCATTTTCATATGAAAGGTTGTGTACGTAGACTCGTTTTGACACAGAGGCACAAGGTCACTCAGAAATGGCCTATTGTGGTCGTTCTACATTAAAAGCGAAATATTTTTCTAGTCGTAGAAAACCCAAGTACACCCATCACCTCATCAGAGCCAATGACTAAAGGTAAGGGGTTTTGGTTTTCCAGTTGTTTATTAAATTATTCCAGATTGATGGTAATAATGATTCATAGAGCAAAAGCATGTTTTCAAAGCCCAGAAGTTGTGTTTGTTCATGATGCATGTGTCTATGCTCTGCTGAAGGCAGAAAAATTTATTGGTAGAATAACATTACTATAGATGTCTAACACAGTCTTTGAAAGTCCTTGAATTTCGGCCTCCATGAATCGGCCAACGTACCTTTAAAGTCCTTGAATTTTTAAAATAGGTTTGAACTGCTCTTGAAATTTGAAACAGCTTTCTCAATGTTTGCAAACAAAACTAGATAACTTCCTTTGTTTTGCTCAGTCTGTGAG